ATGTATCAAAAACACTAAATCTAGAGATAAGCACATAAATATCCTACTCTAGCATACATAGACATATGGGTAGAATATAATAGTCAATTGGAAGCATTAAACCATACAAACCATGATATAATCAAGATTTATATATACATGAATATCAAGATGTATCATACAACACTAATCCCTCAATAAAACACAAGATTAGAGTATAGAAAGCATGCTTTGGGCTAACTCTAGCCCCAAGAAGATGTCTAGCCACTCATGGTAGTGATGATCCAACCCTCAAGGGTTAACTCCACGGCTGCTCCTTGGATGTGAAGATCTCCTCCAATGGTGCTCTAGCTTCCCTCCTTCCTCCTCTCCAAGAATAGCCTCCAAGATGATTTTCAATGTGTGACAAGAGACTCTAAACTCCTCCCCAAAAAGTGTATCATATTCCTTATATAGGTAGGTCAAATACACCCTATGATGAGCTGTGGTCATGCAAGGCATATTCTCCAATGATTGGGTGAACGACGGAATAAATGAGCTGGACTTTAACTTTTTCTCATTGGAGGAAGTTCGATCGATCGAACCTTAACTTGGATCGATCGAAGATGGGTTCGATCGATCGAACTGCATCTTGGATCGATCAAAGTGGTCTGACTCCTCCGGATAAGGACAAGGCTGAGATATTTCAAGAAAATCTTTATGGGGAAAAGGACAAAAGTGGTTGGTAGGCGTACAGCTGTGGATAAGATCAATCATTTGAATAGGACAAAATAGGGTTCGATCGATTGAAGGTGATGTTGGATCGATCGAATCTTGGAATTTCAGCAAAGGCCAAGGTTAGATCTATGGAGAAGTACTGTGATCAATCATAGATGTTCAATCGATCGAACTCTAAGTTGGATCGATCGAACTTTTCAGCTGCATGATAAGCGCTGAATACTGTATATTCAGGCGCCCTAAATTACATTAACAAAGTCCATTAATTGATTATTTGATGTAGATTAACTCCATTTGCATGTTTTTATGCATTTTCAGGTTAAAGTGCAAAAAGGAAGCAAAAATGATGCCTTGTGGAATTTTGAACAAAAAGGGTGCCAATTCTGAATTTCTGGCAGCGGTAGAACCTGACTTTTGTCGCCATTTTCGACCTAGCAAACTCAAGAACTGGACTTCCATCATAACATAAAAGATTTATATCTCTGAATCAGCTTTCCAAATCTTCAAGCAGTTCATCATTCGGAGTTTGGAGCAGAGAGTTATGATCTTCTTAACAGAGGTGCGCAGAACTGCCTGGCAGCACTGAAGTACTGCTTTTCTCCCCATTTTCGACCAATCAGACTTGATAATTGGGTCTTCATCAAAACATGAAGTTTTTAAAGCACTGAATCAGCTCTCCAAATCTTCAAACAGATCATCATTCGGAGTTCGGGACACAAAGTTATAGTAGTTTTACCAAAATAGGTCAGTGCTGAGCAAGAAGAGCATGTTGCACATTGCACTAATTTAGAGTGCTCGAGACCACTCTTCGAGTGCTCGAAAATCAGGCAGATTGCACTCGAAAATGGCTCAATTTCAGCCACTTGCACATTGGTTTCCTCAATGCCATCTTCCATCTTTATGAGGTGGTTGGAGGTGTTCCTTGGAGGAGAGAGAGGGTTTTGTTGGAGGACAAAAGGCAACCAAAGGCCACACAATTCAGATCCTACATTTCTACAAGATTAGAGGAGAGAGAAGAGAGCAAAGGAGGTGTGTTCTTCAAGCTCCAAGAAGGTTGCACGAAAATGGCCATGAAGATGGAGCTTCTTCCTTCTTCTAGCTTAGCAATGGGTAACTAACTCTTTCTCTAGGGAGGTGATGAAGTCCCTCCCTTGTAAGCATGTCCTAGGGTAGTCTATATTGGGGGATTGCAATGTATATTTATGGTCTTTTTCATAGCTAAGAGCACTTCATTTGGTGTAATGAATGTTTATATAAGTATGGATGATTTCTTCAAGCTCATTATCTTATGTTAGGTGATGTCTTGTATTAATCTTTTTGCTTGAGTTTACATGGTGAGAATGGAAACAAGTTTATGAAATGATTTAATGGCATGTTGATAGGTGACTTTGATAGACCATTGCTTAAGAAGTCCTTTGATGGTGTATGCTTAATCTCTAACTCCATGTGCTTTATCATTTTGTCAAGAACTTGATAGTCTCTCGTTTAAGTAAATGTGTATAAGCTACACCTTAGTTAGGTAGTCTAAGCATGTTTATCTTTTGATGGATTATACTTGGTTGAGACCTAATGTACCTCTTGATTACTTATATGGCAACCATGTGTTGCTATGTAAGTCTTGACCATCATATGTTGTTTTTCCCCAATTTAGGTCTAATCTAGCATATGTATAGGGATGGAGGCGGATTCACTTCCCTAGTCTCCTCTTCTCTTTTGTTCTATTTCATCCTAAATTCCTTGCAAATTAGTATTTTATGCACTTTGAATTCCTAGTTTAAGTGACAACAAACAAAACCTTTATGAACACCCCCTCATCATTCTAGAAAGATTCTAGACACTAAGGATGCCGTAAGACTAGCGCAGTCCCAGTGGTTCGACTTACCCGACCAATAGCCCTATTTTACAATAATTCGTGCTATTGCGAAGGTTGATGTATGATTGACCAACCGATCACTGCACAACTTTGATTCCTTTTTGCTCCTTTCTTTCTCCACTTTGCTCCCTCCTTTGGTTTATCTCAGGATTGCTTCAATTAAGCTCTTATTTGGCTGAGTTAGCTCAATTTTGGGATTAGTGCCTGAAAATATAAATAACACGTAATAAGTCTAAAACGGCAAAGTAAGATAGATAAAGGTACTAGAATGCTTAAGCTTAACGGGTTTAAATGCGCACTTTTCAGTGCTCATCAATGGTGGCATGATTCAACTTTTGGTAATCAATGTACAACCTCAGAGAACCATCTTTCTTCTTAACAAACAAGATAGGTGACACACTCGGTCAGATGAAACCTTTCATCCTCAATTCATCAAGCTGTCTCTTCAATTCTTCCAACTCCACCGATGCCATACGATACGGTGCCATAGAAATCGGCGAGGTATCGGGCATCAAATCAATAGTAAACTCCACTTCTCGGTGTGGAGGCAACTCTGTTAAGTCCTCTGGAGAAACATCCAAGAAATCACGAACAACTATCGGATAATCCTCTTCCACAACATCATCTTCTTCGGCTAAAAGACTAGCTAAGAAGTAATCACCACGACTCCGTCCACGAATACCATACAATGATGAAGGTTGGGAATCACTTCGATCTCCCATGAAAAGAAGCAATCTCCCTCGGGAGTGCAAACTATAACTCTTCCTCTAAAAGGTCAAACACAAAAGTTCGCCCGGCTATCACGATGGAGCAATCCCTTATAATTCTTCTCAAGGACATTGAAACCCCAACTAGCGTATCAACACAAAACACCCAATCCATGAAACTAACCTCTAACCCCGATGAAAGTGCAAATGATGATGACATGAAAGAATAAGATGCACCAAAGTCAAACAAAACACGGGCCCAAGAACCAAACAGGCATATCATACATACATTGTTTTCATATAAGCATGCTTTCTCATAAAACTTCCATCAACACATACTATCACATTTGCATATATATCATTTAAACAATTATAGTAAGAATTCATCCAAAATAGGCATGCTAAAACACAATATACATAAAAAAATTCACAAAATTTCAAGAAAACGTGAATTAAACACCCCTACCTCAAAGGAGGAGAAACCCCCAATTCCCAAGCCCTAGATTCGAAAATTCAAGGAGGTACCAAAACTGAAATTGCTTATATCTATATGAAGATCTCGCTGCGCTCTTCGTTTTTTCGCAAACGGCACCCAAAAATTCCAACAATTGAGGAAGGAATCAAATGTTGAAGTTGTAAAAGAAAAAGAAAAGAAATATCAACGGGAGAGAGAGAACAGGTCGTGAGAGAGAGTGAGATTGCTGAGGATAATGGCTATAAAGCCATTATATTTGTTATAATGTCCTGCGGGTCCCACCACTTTTCTTTCTTTCTTTCTTTCTTTTTTTTTTTTTTTTTTTTCTTTTTTGTACATAAGCACACACCATAATTACATATATGCATATAAGAAAAACACAAACATTACATTCTCCCCAACTTTAAAAGATTTCGTCCCGGAAATCAAGCCATACCTGAGGGAGAAAACAACTCTGGATACTTGGAGCGAACCTCCTGTTCAAGCTCCTAAGTAACCTCCTTAACTCCATAATGCCTCCAGAAAACTTTCACCAATGGTATCGTCTTGTTCCTCAACCCCTTCTGCTGTGTGTCAAGGATCTGAACTGGTCCCTCTTCATAGTAGACATCCTTATTAATGTTTACATCAACCCAACTCAAAATATAAGATGGATTCGGCTCGTACTTCAGTAGCATCGATATATGAAAGACATTGTGAACTCTGTCCATCTGCGGTGGCAAAGCAAGTCTGTAGACAACCTCTCCTACCCGGTCTAAGATCTTAAAAGGTCTAATAAATCATGGCGACAACTTGCCACTCTTTTCGAACCTCATTAATCCCTTCCGTGGAGAAACTCAAAGAAAAACGCGGTCTCCCACCTCAAGGATTGCAGCCGTCTCCGTCTATCCACATAACTCTTTTGTTAGCTCTGAGCTGTAAGTAATCTCTATCTGATCAGCTTAATCTTTTCGGTAGTCTCGAGTACTATGTCGGGTCCTAAGGCGGCTGTCTCGCCTACCTCAGTCCAACAAACAGGAGACCTACAAGGTCTACCATACAACGCCTCAAATGGAGCCATCTGAATACTCACCTGATAACTGTTATTGTAGGCAAACTCAATAAGTGGAAGGTGATCCCCCCAACTGCCTCCCAAATCAAGTACACATGCCCGAAGCATATCCTCCAAGATCTGGATGGTACGCTCTGACTGTCCATCCGTCTGTGGATGGAATGCCGTACTAAGGTGCAACGATGAACCAAATGCTACCTAAAGTCCTTCCCAGAACCTCGAAGTAAACTTGGCATCCCTATTTGAAACAATAGCCACTGGAACTCCGTGCAACCTCACAATCTCTTTCACATAAAGAACACCAAGTGCCTCCGCGTTATCTGTTGCCTTAATGGGCAAAAAGTGAGCCGTTTTGATCAATCTATTAATAATGACCCATGCGGCTTCATTTCCCTTCCGTGATCTAGGAAGACCTGTTACAAAATCCATAGCAATCTGCTCTCATTTCCACTGCGCTACAGGTAATGGTTGCAACAAACCGGTTGGTCTCTGATGCTCGGCCTTCACCTGTTAACAGGCAAGGCACCTAGCCATAAACTGTGCAACATCCTTCTTCATTCCATTACACCAATACTGATGTCTTAAATTGTGATACATCTTAGTACCACCCGGATAAACTGCAAAGCGGGAAGTATAAAACTCCCATAGAACATCCTCCCGACAAATGGTGGGAACAACCAACAAACCCTTAAACCATAGACCTCCATCTGCATGCGTAGTCCAATCCTTCACTATCTCACCACCAGAAATCAGAGTGTGAATAGCATCCAAATCCGGATCTTGCCTCTGTGACTCAATCACTCATCCGACAAGAGTAGGCTGAGCCACAAGACTAAACAAGAATGTCGACTCATAACAAACATCGTCATCAAAACCCTTCAATCCCATTTTTGCCAAATCCTCAAGCATCTTCCATTATCGAATAGCCAAACCGGCCAAAGTCCCACGAGATTTCCGACTTAAGGCATCTGCTACCACATTTGCCTTACCCGGATGATACTGCAAGTCAAAATTGTAATCTTCCAAGAACTCAACCCACCGCCTGTCTATTGTTCAAGTCCTTTTGGGAGAAAAGGTACTTGAGACTCTTGTGATTTGAGAACACCTCGAATCTCTCACCATACAAGTAATGTCTCCAACACTTCAAAGCAAATATGACTGCCGCTAACTCTAAATCATGAGTAGGGTAGTTAAGCTCGTGAGTCTTCAACTGTCGAGACCCATAAGCCACTACTCTACCATCCTACATCAACACACGTCCCAAACCATCACGTGAAGTGTCACAATAAATCTCATAACCCAAGTTACGCTCGGGTATCACCAATACTAGAGCTATAGTCAATCTTATCTTCAACTCCTGAAAGGAAGACTAACAGGCATCATTCCATGTAAAATTGATCCCTTTCCGGGTCAAGCGAGTCATAGGCACTGTCAAGCGAGAAAAATCCTTCACAAATCTTCAGTAGTAACCCGCTAAGCCAAGAAAACTTCGGATCTCAAAAACATTCTTGGGTTGCTCCCAATTTAGAAATGCCTCTATTTTTTATGGATCAACCGATACTCCACCTTCCGAAACAACATGCCCTAAAAATTTCACCTCTTATAACCAAAACTCACACTTCTCATACTTGGCATACAAACGGTGCTCTCGCAAAATCTACAATATAATACTCAAATGGATCCCGTGCTCCTCCCGAGTCCGTGAATACACAAGAATATCATCCATGAAAACTACCACAAACTGGTCCAAGTAATTGTTGTAGACACGGTTCATTAAGTCCATGAATGCCGCTGGCACATTAGTCAAACCAAAAGGCATGACAAGAAACTCATAATGTCCATACCGTGTACGGAACGCTGTCTTTAGGATATCTTCATCCCTAACCCGTAACCGATAGTAGCCTGACCTCAAGTCAATCTTAGAAAAATAACTAGCTCCACTCAACTGATCAAACAAATCATCTATCCTTGGCAAAGGATACTTGTTCTTGATGGTTGACCGGGTCCTCTTTTACAAGGGTCGCGATACCAAGTCAAGCTTGAAAGTTGTGTATGAATTTAGGAGGTGGCCAAGTTTTACATTTATAGAAAGCCACTACTACCTTTCTCTATATAAAATATAGATAGGGCGAGTAGGGATCGTCCCAAGGGATTTGATGGTGTATCTAATTGTGAACTATGGTAATTAGGGTTAGTAGGTCGAGTGATCACACAATTGGTTGGTTGGTTGATTAAGTTAAATTGAATTCAACTAAATAAAATAATATGACGTAAACAAGAGAGAGAGAGGTCTTGGGGTGTAGAGATCACCACCAAGCAATACTTTTTTATACTACTAACAAGTGATCAATTGAGGGTAATGGATGTGTTGCAATATGATAAGGGTGTGTGTGCATTAGGTTGATTCAATTGGCAAGGATGACAAATCAAGCAAGTATTGTCTAAACATCATGTGAAGAGCACAATATATCTAAATAATAGAGCATATATTGTCTAGACAACATGGGGATAGCACAATAGATCAAAACAAGTCATTAATCCTTCATTAAGCTCACAATCTACATACAGCACAATATTTGAGGAATATGCCTTTTGGACTCACAAGCATGGAACATCAAACATCAAGAGTAGATTGTCCTCCCATCTAACATTATTCTACCACTACACTAAATCTACACTACTAGCATGAAAATAAAGCTATCTAGCCTAGGGGAGAGGCACAAACCATCAAGAATAGGCATAAACCATCAAATGAACCAAAATAGCATTCATTAAGCATATCATCTTGATAATCTCTAGATCTATAGCATCAATACACATAGACATGTATCAAAAACACTAAATCTAGAGATAAGCACATGAATATCCTACTCTAGCATACATAGACATATGGGTAGAATAGAATAGTCAATTGGAAGCATTAAACCATACAAACCATGAAATAATCAAGATTTATATATACATGAATATCAAGATGTATCATACAACCCTAATCCCTCAATAATACACAAGATTAGAGTATAGAAAGTATGCTTGGGGCTAACTCTAGCCCCAAGAAGATGTCTAGCCACTCATGGTAGTGATGATCCAACCCTCAAGGGCTAACTCCACGGCTGCTCCTTGTTAGTGAAGATCTCCTCCAATGGTGCTCTAGCTTCCCTCCTTCCTCCTCTCCAAGAATAACCTCCAAGATGATTTTTAATGTGTGACAAGAGACTCTAGACTCCTCCCCAAAAAGTGTATCATATTCCTTATATAGGTAGGTCAAATACACCCTATGATGAGCTGTGGTCGTGCAAGGCATATTCTCCAATGATTGGGTGAAGGACGGAATAAATGAGCTGGACTTTAACTTTTTCTCACTGAAGGAAGTTCGATCAATCGAACCTTAACTTGGATCGATCGAAGATGGGTTCGATCGATCGAACTGCATCTTGGATCGATCGAAGTGGTCTGACTCCTCCGGATAAGGACAAGGCTTAGATATTTCGAAGATATTTATAGGGAAAAGGACAAAAGTGGTTGGTAGGCGTACAGCTGTGGATAAGATCAATCATTTGAATAGGACAAAATAGGGTTCGATCGATCGAAGGTGATGTTGGATCGATCGAATCTTGGAATTTCAGCAAAGGCCAAGGTTGGATCTATCGAGAAGTACTGTGATCGATCATAGATGTTCGATCGATCGAACTCTAAGTTGGATCGATCGAACTTTTCAGCTGCACAACTTTGATTCCTTTTTGCTCCTTTCTTTCTCCACTTTGCTCCCTCCTTTGGTTTATTTCAGGATTGCTCCAATTAAGCTCTTATTTGGCTGAGTTAGCACAATTTTGGGATTAGTGCCTGAAAATATAAATAACACGTAATAAGTCTAAAATGGCAAAGTAAGATAGATAAAGGTACTAGAGTGCTTAAGCTTAATGGGTTTAAATGCGCACTTTTCAGTGCTAACATCACACCCCCAAACTTAAATATTGGTAGTCCCTAACAATGAACTAAGAAGTAAAGGAATGAAATGAACAACAAAACAAGTATAAACTGGAAAGCAAGTAAAATGATAACACCATTTTCGCAGGGAACACGATTGCATTTAGCATATGCAACAAGCCTTTTAAACCCCTAGGTTACCCCTAATGGACGAGTAAAGTCTCGTGAGGGTTTCCAGAAATGGTACCCACAAACATTAAGCTCATTCTTTCAAAAGAGGCACCAATATTACAAACAAGCATTGGGAGAAAATTACCTCAAGTATGCAATTTTTCAACCGTTTCTAAGCAATCTCCCAAAATTTCAATATCAAACAAGCAAGTATGGTCCTCCACATATCAAGAAAATGATCATGAAAATTGAAACAAGTCTAGAATCCATGTGAGAGGTCCGGCATCAAGTGTGTTGCTATCTTAGCCAACTAGAGAAGTAATCACATCCTTACCCTCAAACTAGTACACAAATCTAGTACCGATCATCAAGATAAGAGAGTGGACCTTTTATTAAAGCTTTATTGTTCTAGGTGCGCTTATTCTTTTCACTCTATTTTTTTTTTCTTTTTTTTTTATTGAGGATCAAAGATGGAAGTATTGTGCAATGTGTTGATCTCTTAAGCTTTCTAGAAGATTCATGTAGCGAGCTTTAGGTCAATGACTCCCAAACCAGATGGCTTTAGGGCATTAGGTGTTAAGACACCCCAACGGACTTACAAACTCAAATCAACTAGGCTACAAATCAAGACAACAACCATCTAATCATTTCCTACTTCTCACCTTTTGGGAGAAGTCCTCACTTTTATTGCTTTTGCAACTTCTTTTTTTTTTTTTTTTTTTTTTTGAATTCAATTATTAACCTAGAGTTTGGGCCCTCCACCTTTCGGCGCGAGAAGTTCACTGCTTAATGAGGCAAGAATCCTGGCTACTCAATGAAAAGGGGTTGTTATCCACCTTTATCAAGAATGAAAGCTTCCAATGCACTACTAGCTCAATTGGGATATAACCAATTCAATAATCAACAAAGCATATACCCCACAAATGAATGCTAGTGTGCACCGGTGCTAGTGTAGAATCCTAGAATGAATCTCAAAACAATCACAAATTCAGGATGATGTGGACCACAATTGCAAGCAAGATATCAATCTTTTGAAAAATTTACTCCTAAATGGCATCCTCAAGGCATACAAGGAGTATTGGACTCTCAAGTCAAGCAATTTTTAAATTTTAAGCAATATAGTCCTCAAAAGATCAAAATTATAGCTAGAAATGGACCAAGTATAGAAATATCCCTCAAATACACAAGACATGCTCAAAATTTGAATTTTAAAGTAACACTGAAATATACACCAATACCCCTAAACTTAAACTGCACATTGTCCTCAATGTGTGAAGAGAACAAAGGAAAGAGTATACCAGTGCTTTAGACATGAATGATCGGGATAGAAATATCCAAAGTGGGTGGCATGGCCCCCCCAAACTTGGGATAAACTGTGGTCCTGAAAAGTTTGCACTCGGATAAACTCATTAGATGACAAGATAGGATAATCAGTGCACAGTGGACATGCAAGTGTAAAATGGGATAAATAGAGAATAGAGAGAGAGGTGTAAGAGTGGTCCTAAAAAATTGGGCAGCACTCTCTCACTAAAGTCACTGTGGTGTACCTGATGGAGTCAAACATACAAATATGAGATACTAAGAGACATCCATAATCAAAAAGCAATATATAGAGAATATAAAGTGCAGGTACATCAATAAAATAATAAAGCCGACAGACCGGCCGCAAAGTATAATACAGTAACAGTTACAGTATAATACAGATCCAGAATAAAAGAAATGAAAGCATAGAACAACTGGAAGTGGAGTCTCAGGAGGCCTGATCGTGAAGATCTGCAGTGGCTGGAGGT